TAATTATAAATATGAGCGTGGTGAAAGTTGGTCAGCACGCTGACGTCTTTTCTCCCTCTGTGTGCTCGTAAGGATCTAACACTTTCACTGGTTTGATTTTTTTCCTCGTATCTTTTCTTTGACTTTTCATTAAGTCTGTCTTTGTACGGACCGGCATTGTTCTCCTTTGTTTTGTACAGAACTTTTTGGGGGGCAAAGAAAAAGCAAGAATTTATTGGAATGGAAGAATGAACGTTTTGCGGTGCTGCAAATGCTTGCATTTGATGCGGTACTTGGATTGTTTTGCCACTAGTACCCGGCATGCAATGCACGAAAGTCACGTGGTCTGTCAATCTCTATAACTGCAAATCAAACGATGACAGAGTCGCCTCCATCTTTGTTCAGATGTGTTTCGGGGTCATTTATTTTACTTTGATTCGTGCCGAGTGTGACGCGTCACAGGCCAAACAGTCAGAAAGATCACAACATCATTTCCTGTTCAGTCATGTTTGAGCTCCACAGACGTGAGCGCCTCTCTTATTAGAAATTATTAATCCAATAAAGCCATTAAAGCCAGAGATTCCAGTCAGTGTGAGTCTGTGTGTGTGCAGCGTGTGTGTGCTGACCTGTTAGCTGCTTGTCGCCTGCTGCCGGGGCGATGCGAATGTAGGGCGTGGTGAGCTGGGTGATGATTATAGCGGCTATTCATCCAGGAAGGCATGCAGACAGACAGAGAGAGAGAGAGAGATGGCAGGTCTGTACTGCAGCAGAAACATTAGTAACACACAGCGCCCTGCTCTCCTGTCACAGCACAGCGCTAACACAATGCTAACACAGCGCTAACACAGCGCTAACACAATGCTAACACAGCACACAGCACTCAGCGTTTGTGACTCGAGTCGTCTCCTTATTTTGACCCAGTGCTTCCACCTGCTGTCTCATTATTATCATTATCATTGTTATCAATAAAGCAGGAAACGCTGCACTCATCTGGGTTTAAATAAAGTCACTTGAATGCTCTGATCGTGTGAAGAACTCTTGGTGGCAGCTTTAAACTGCTGCAAGCGGAGCTCGAGCCGAGCAGCTCCACGTCCTGCCTGAAGCCGCGAGGACAGCGGCTCTGTCCATCACATTCACATAACTTTCACTGCTTTGGTTGGTGTCCCATCTGTGAGTGCTTCCTTTAAATTCTTTGAAGTTGCGGAAGCTCACGCTGCTCTGATGGAGGCCTTTAGCTCACCGGGATCTTTGGATCAGAGGTTTCTGTGAGATTTGGGTGAAACAGTAACAACCTGGTCAGGTGGTGAGCAAAAAAAAGCTCTCAGCAGACAGAAGCATGAAGTGCTGTAACACCTGGCTCTGACCTGAACCTGAGTCTCTGCCCTCCTCCTCCAGACTCCTGCACCGAGTTCAAAGCAGTTCTCCTGCTGATCAGCCCAGTGAGAGGTTCATTGTCTCTGGTACCAGGGCTGGAGCTCCTTCCTCTTCACCTGGCAATTGCTGATGCTTGTTGAAAGTTCTCAAGTGGACTTTTCTTCACAGTCCTCTGCTGTCTGTGCACCTTTTCCTCCACTGTTCCCTCCCGGTGAACTTTCCACTCCCACCCCTGTGAGAACAGTCGACCTTTTTAGCGGTGACCTTCTGTGTATTCACCCTCCTGCAGGATGCTGATCATCATCATCTGGACAGCTGTGAGGTCAGCAGTCTTCCTCGTGGACTTCTGTAAGCCACAGCCATCCAAAACACTTCACCTGACTATGGAAATATAAAATCCTACATGAAAAAGGAAGTGTTTGTTTTAAGAGGCTTTAATAAAAGGTTAATGTTGAACTGTAACTGTTGATCGGGGTTACTAAGAGACGACATTTGGTTGCTATGGAAACACTCTGACATTCCCAGAATGACATCACCTCTTTCCTTCCTGTACAGGTAACCAATCATAAACTGGGTGTACCTGAACACACGACCTTTCTCCTGCTGAGGTCTGACTGATTCGCTGCCTATTGATTATAGATCAGTATTGATTTACTGCAGCAAACCCCTGTTAGTCTTCTTCTTCAGTCCAAACTGATTTAAACTGAACTGTGAGCCAAACAGAGGAGAGCAGAGCGCTGTTCACCTAAACACACCTGGAAGAGAAGCTCGTTAATCAGCCAATCAGTGATCAGATGTTATTAATCAATCAATCAAGCAGCAGAAGCAGAGAAAGAACAGGAATCTCCTAACCATGTGTTCACCGCACTCACAGAGGTCAGTTAGAAAAAATGTGTTTATTAAAAAAGGATCAATCAGTGTATATACATATACTCACGGTGTTACCATGGCGATCAGTCAGTGCATACAGATCATGAATGTTGAGTCTGACTTAGTGAAGGGTCTCTGCTGGGCCATGAATGGTTTTATACTGGACACTAATCAGGTCCAAAAAATGATGCTGGTTTATATTTGACTGAGAACAGCTCCTGCATGCAGGCCAAAGAACTGCTTATATGACTCATCGACAATAAAGTCAGTGATTATG